TTGTGACCCGCTTCTTTCTGTAGATTATGTCAGCAAAAAAAAAAATAAAATAAAGATTTGTTTGGCATTCCAAAGTATGAAGAAGTCTAAAGCTTGGGACACAATGGAAACTCATCAGCTTTCGTTTGCCACAGTTTTTCGCTGGCGGTTTAGTCATGTTTCCGTAGCACAAAGAAGGTAAGAGTGTTTGTTATTCCTCTCGTAAACGAACGTCAGTCCATCATTGGTACCACACGATATTTTCGTCAGGGTTCCCAAACAACTGGACGGTACCAGTGTGTTGAGAGAAACTGTAACTGTAAGGTGTTTTAAAAGAGCACATCGTTAGTAACCTTTAAATCATTTTTATGTTGCATATAAATTTTTAATGATCTGTTGTAATATCTTGTTGTCTTTCGTTTAATTTGTGGACTTGGGTTTGTTGCCTATTGCTGTTTAGCACTTCCCAAGTTGAAGTGAGACAGAGCGTTCCTACTAATAGAGATGTGGCCGTGACTCCGTCAAGTTGATCAGTTACGGTGGACAGTTGGCGGATTGAACAGCCCTTTTGATCTGGACAAACTCCGAGTAGACGTGAATGCCAAGGCCACGTAAGACAATAGGCCGTCATGGCCTCCTTAGAAGGTGCTATTTGCTTTGCTGGCATTCTATTGCTTGAAGAATCAACATGATTCACGACATGATGCCACGAGTATGATATTGTTGGAATTACTGATCTTCTTGCCGTGATATTGCACGAAGGACGGTGGCGAAGGAGGAACATTTCAAGATTGCTAATTCCGACGTAAAGCTAGTGGAGCCAACACTGTATCTCACTTAATCTTACCAAGCTAAACTGTGGAACGAGCGTGTGAATGCATGCGTGTGGAATGTGGGTCAGGAAATGTGTGTGAGTAAAATGCAAATCAATTTCATATTACATGCGTGTTTAGCATTATCCTGGCGGTTGAATAAATGGACTTGTTGACTGAGGTAGTCTCTTGAAAACTACATGGTGTTAGAAGTGAAAAAAAAAATCCGCGTCGCCCGGTCTCTCTGACAATCTAACAATTTCAATTATTGCAGAGTCTCCGAAAACCAGAACCGTTTAGCTTGATGGGTAATGTCGCGCTAAACTGGAAACATTTCGTACAGCAGGTGGAAATATTCATCGCGGCCGCTTGCGCAGAAACGGACGATTTTAAGTTAGTATTTCACTCAATCTTACCAAGCCAAATCTTTCAGTGAAATGATTTTATGTAACTAGTGACATTAACTCTAGCTTAATAAAAACCACTTCCAAGAACATATGGGAAGAAAGAACATGTACTTTATGGCAATATATTTCAAAAAACTTACCGTAGAGTATTTGGTTTATCAAAACAATTTACCGTACCCAAATTCACAATTAGCCAATCAGAAGCCGTTTCTACTGTCCTGATATTCTGCGATAAAAAATCCCTGACCTGATATGGTTTTGATATCTTGGTCACTTGGCCGAATTTGTGTACGGTANACTGTCCTGATATCCTGCGATAAAAAATCCCTGACCTGATATGGTTTTGATATCTTGGTCACTTGGCCGAATTTGTGTACGGTAAATACTAATCTAGCCTTTTAGGTACGCTTCGGCGGCATATCAGGCCCGTTTGGTCTCGCCATGGTTGTCATTTGATCATAACATGGATGTCCAATATTAAAGATGTACGCTGCAAACCAAGGCTGCATGTCTCGGTCGACCTATTAGCTGAAGTATGGCCGCCATGTTGCGCGACTTCGTCGTCATGGGTGCGCGCTCATGAGCAGAACCGCTAGCTATCATGACTTCGTCTTGCCAAAATACGAACCAAGGCTCGACCAGACTCACCTGACATACCGCTGAAACGTACCAAAAAGGTACGATTAGGTATAAAAATCATTATTTAGCTCTTTCTTCTCATCGCTCTTGCCTCATGGGGAGCTTTACCCTAGTGAATGAATCTCCTTTCCTGTCCTAGGTTAGTCTCACGAAATTGGCAATTAAACAAGCTTGGAATTTTACAATGAAACTCTAATATTAAATAAAAAACTTACCATACTATCAATTTTACATACCTATTTTCATCTTGCGAGCAAATCTGTCAGGATTTCCCATTTCTTTCCACTCTGGAATTTTTAAAGTACTTCTAAAGAATTCGTGAGAAAAGGCAATAGATTCTGTAATATACAATCGTGATCTATACAGCGTTTCCACTGATGTGTCCAATAGTTGTTTAAATAACAACATTGCAAATACTTACAAACAAACGACAGAAAAAAACACGAACAGAAGGCAGTCTATTCATGCACTTCATATAATAAATATAATATTCTAAAAAGCAACAAGATGTGAGGCAATCAAGATAAAATCCTCGATAACATCAAATATTCCAAAAATCAGATCTGTTTCGGTCAAAGTTCCAACATAGATATTATTGTCTAATAGCCAGGACATGCTTCCAAAACTCGGCAGATTTCGTGAAGAAGATGAGTAAACAAATGATACTCAATGGATTCAGCTTCCTCATGACAGGAAGCACAGTTTGGTGAATCAACTATACTAAGACGACATAGTTTATCTTTTGTGAACACGCTACGATTTAAAATTTGTATTAAAACTCTATGACTTTTTCCAGTCTAAGACTATGGTCATTTATTCCTGTCTAGCTGTGGGTGGTACATGTTTTTTCTCCAAGAAGAGCTGGTAAATTTGCTCGAAAGAAATATCAAGAACTGCAAAGAATAAAGCGAGGGGAGTCGAATGTATCGCCACGGACTCAAATAGTTCTGAGAATTTATACTGAATCAAGTCGCACAAAAAAATGGCAGTAGAGACGCGACCTGTTCTGTTCAAAGTTTTTCGAAAGCAGCTTACAGGATCATCGTCACTCTAACCTGCGAACAGTAATTCCCTTCTCGTTCTGCTCGGTGAGAGACGAGAGGGAACCTCTGCTCACAACCGCTTGATCGTTTGGTCACAACAAGGGACGAATAAATCAAAATACTGGATTTTGACAAGTTTTTCCCGGTTTAAAACTTACGCATGACAGATAGGATTTAAGCTGCTGTCCACTTGCGAGAATGGCGACAATATCTGCAACACTGTGACACTGTGACATGTACTCATCAAGTTCAAAACTTTCGTCCGATGAAAAACTGGGAATCGTTGGTCTTAAACTGTTTGCGGTCTGTGTATTTTTCATGGGGTTATCTCTATTTGCCTTATGTTTACCTTTCTCGACTTGTTGAGAATACTTTTCTCGTGGAGAAACTTCCAAGGTTGCGCTGTAAAGTAAGCCCAATCAGCCGACACGCACCACTATCATCAATGTTG